GCCCCCCCCCCCCCCCCCCCCCCCCCCCGCCCTCCGCATCCGCCCCCCAAGCAGCCCCGAAGGCACGTTTTTGGGGCAAAAATCTCTTAACTTAGTTAGAAATTCGGGAAACCTCAGGTATTTCACCCCCTCCTCGGACGTAAACCTGGCTCCGCCACTGGATGTCATGTTAAGAACCAACGCTCTAATCGACTGTGCTACAATTGCCATTGGAATGTTATCAGTGAACTAGAATACCTTAATAGAATATGTTAACATTTCCATTGCAGTTTTCAGCATGGATTACAAGGGGAAGCGTAGACAAAGCTAAATTTGCCCTGATTGCAGGAATGGCAATATCTAATTACTTTGGAAGATATTTTGGTTTTAAATATCCACTGCCAAAACAAGGTAACCAATTCATATTTCAAACTCACAATCTATCTATGGACAATATAATGGTAATATTTATATTCTTAAGTTTACTTTTCATGCTTCTGTGGGAAAACAGAATCCAAAGGCTGTAAAGTCAATTTTCTACGTGATCAACGGGAACCAAATGTACCATTCATGGCCATTAAGCATCACTGCTCAATAGTACCATGTAAACGAGGTGGACATGCATCTAGTCATCAGTTTGGAATAAATTTCCTTTTAAAGTGGACTTCTTTATGATTGCCAAGCAATTCACCTTTTCCCGGTATCTTCTTGTTTTCGTGACCCTAAGTTAGAACGAATCAATGTACATTTTATTGAAGAATAATACCTTTTTATAGATATCATAGCTGTTCCTGATTTTGATGCACAGGGAATGGAGAACTGGGGTTTGATTATATGTTCTGAAGATATGCTTATTAACCATAGTATTGCATCTAGTGAAATGCAACAACATGTTGCCATACTTATTTCACATGAACTAGCTCACCAGGTAACGTATTTGACGTATTTCAACGATATGAAAGCGTCTCATGAGGTTTAGTCAACAAAAACATGACATCGTTCCCTACAACTGTGTTCACCGGTTTACTTCATTACATAAAGACGCGACACAATTATAATCGTCAAAGTGTGTTTTCGTTGTCTTTTACTATTTGGGACATACCTTCCAGACGGAGAGTAGGGGCCTACCAATTTGCAAACAAAAGATATCAATCTTTCCCCAATTCAATTTTGTTGGTGTCATACTTCGGAGCCTTGTAATCAAGACCTAATGATATGTTTATTTCTATCATACAGTGGTTTGGTAATCTGGTCACTATGAACTGGTGGACTGATTTGTGGTTAAGTGAAGGTTTTGCTGAATTCCTTGGATGGATTGGTACTAGTTATCTTTTTCCAGAATGGAAGATGGTATGAAAATACAATTCAATATAGTTGCTGAAGGAACAACTCGGATCCAACATTGAACAGAAAATCGCGTGCATTCGGTTAGCTCACTCGAGGAGTAATTTAAGGTGTCTCATGGTTCCTTCGTACCATTTTAGAGGGACAAAGAATATTATTTCCTTTTCGCTAACCTGAAGGTCCAGGTTCAATCCTGGCATAAGTCGAGATAATATCTTCGGATTTTTCAACCCGGTTTCCCCCTGTCGGTGATGAAGATCAGATTGGCTGACATGGAAAAAGTGTCTAGTCTAGTTCGAATAGGACAATAAAAAGATGACAATCGAAGAAGATTAGGCTAATGCTGCTCTCCTTACAAATTACGCCATTACTGCGTGGTGTTGCGCGTCCTTATGCTCAATATCTCATTGTCTACATTTCAGTTCGATCAGTTTGTGCTTGACATTGTACATTCTGCTTTTGAGATGGATGGTTTAACTACGTCACATCCGGTGAATGTTCCAGTATCTAATGTTGATCAAATAAGTGACATATTTGATGATATATCGTATAAAAAGGTAATAGTATACAATGCTTTATTGTGCTTCTTTCCATTGGAATAATTCTTGCAGTTTTTTGGTAATCCATTGTAAAAACTTTTGATAATTAATTATTCTTATTTTTCAGGCAGCCTCTATAATAAGAATGGTGAATTTCTTTCTCGGAGAAAATATTTTCCGTCGTGGTTTACAGGTTTGAAAATAATATTTTGTATATGTTGCANATTTTACGCAAAGGAATATCGACAGGTATTTTCATGGAGAATGTGTTAACATGCTTATATCTCACACTACTCACGACTTTGATTACACACCATCAATCTTCCCACATCAGCACACACCATCATACTTTAAATTTTCCTACATCAGCATACTTTCAATCTTCCACACCAGCATACTTTCAATCTTCCACAACATCATACTATCAATCTTCCACACCATCATACTTTCAATCTTCCACACCAGCATACTTTTAATCTCCCACACCATCATACTTTCAATCTCCCACACCAGCATACTTTCAATCTTCCACACCAGCATACTTCCAATCTTCCACACCATCATACTTTCAATCTTCCACACCATTATACTTCCAATCAAGGTGATATTAGAATATATGTATTGGAGTGGGATTTTTTGTGTTGCCTGCCAAATTTTATTCAGCTTTCCCTTGTAAGTGTTAACATTTTAAATTTTAGTTTTTAAATTTCCCAGTGCTTTTTCTTGTCTCAAAAGGCAATAAACGTACTTGATTTATGAAGTGTTTCCTCTTTTAGCGCTACCTTAAAGGACATGCTTTTGGAACAGCAACACATGATGACCTATGGTTAGCTTTAAATGAGGTAGGCCCCCTATTGCTAGGTTTTTGTATTTACTAAATTTTAAATAAGCTTAAGTGTCCCTCACACCATAGTGATCACCAGCTTCGTATGGTTGGGAACAGGATAGCGGTTATCAGTTTCGAAAAATGTGGGATTAAATACATTATTGGAAACTTTTGACTATTTTCCAATAATTTCAGGGAAAAAATGAAATGAATGGAGTTTTACGTCCTACTTTTCTGCACCATGTAGGCTAATGAAGACGGACAAGGCCATGCAGAGTGCAATGAGTGGAATTTTGCCCGGACAGCGGCATGAACCTGCTCTTTTTTGATTTCCAACTGTCGGGGGATCTTAAACGTGCACAGCTTGTAGCACACGGGGCCTCGGTTTATTGTCCCATCTGAACGACTACACGCTTTTTCCATGTCAGTCCCTCTTACCTACTGAAACCGGGTTGAAAAATCCGAAGGTATTATCTCGACCTATGCCGGAATTGAACCCTGGACCTTCAGGTTAGCGAGCAAGCATCTTAACTCATTGAGCCAAATAATTCCACGGAAAAGTCCCTTGTCAGAATATGGGGTCACTGTGCAAGTCATTTGAGAGACAAATATTTTGACAATGATTTTCGAAATCTCAATGATTTATAGGTTATAAGTATCCCAGAAATGCACATAAAAAGGTTAACAATAAGCTGAATTTCATTTCTTGCAGGAAGCTAATTTAGAGGGTAAAAATATTAATGTTAAAGAGATAATGGATACGTGGACATTACAAATGAACTACCCAGTGGTTAAAATCAAGAGACAAGATACATCTGGCTTTGTCATCAGTCAAAGAAGGTTTTTAAAAGATCCTTGTGTCAGAGATTCTAGAAAATATTCTTCAGATTTCAAGTAGGTCTAATATTCCAAATTTACTTTTAGACGACAAAATCAGGGATCACTTCTAAATTTGATCCCTTTTTTAAAAATAACAGATGTTCATTTGTCATTTTGTACTTCATATTTTAAATAACACACAATCATTTTGTTTTTCGCTTAAATTATGCGCTTTATGAGAATATAAAATTGGTGTTGGTATAGTAATATTTGGCTTTCGGTCTGAGGCCTGTGAAATGCGTTGTAAAGCCTTCTGATATTTTTTTTATTTAAACCATATTTAGGTACAGATGGGAGATCCCGTTTACCTTCACTACTAAGGAAGAGTTATATTTTAACCAAGATCACAGTGATATAATTTGGGTAACAAAGAAAATACGAAATAGTGAGTATCAAAGTGAAAGATAATTTTATGAAAATCACTAAAAAACAAGCAATTTTTGGTCAAAACTGCTCAATATGGCATTAATATTGCATGTTCAATTAATTCGCGTTATAATGTGCCTTCAAACTGTGTAACTAGTCTTTGTCTTTACTGCGCTATCTTTCTTGTACCAGCACCCTTATAAATCCTGTCGTCAACGCGACAATCTTGTCGTGGATGCGTAGGCACACAAGAGATTTTACTCAAGATTTGGCGACAAAAATCGGCGAGAAAGACTGTTCGTGTGCCTACACCATTAGAACACCTGACTGCGATTAGGTTTGTCACCCGAGCATCTCTCTGAGGGTGTATTACATTTGGTATGGTATATTATTATTCGTGATATTCAAAAATTTTAAAATATTTATATTTTCATTGTATTGTAGAACTGTTTCGAATTAAAGCTGTCTATGCTCAAAAATCGAATACAACTTCATGTAATTGGATATTGGGAAATATTCAACAATATGGTTTTTATAGAGTAAATTATGATACAGAAAATTGGAAATGTTTATTATTACAACTAGAAACAAATCATACTGTAAGTTGTTAGTTGAATACTTCATTGAATACATCAATGTATATTACCAAACTGATATTTTGGATTTCTAGTTTCTGTTTTGCTAGAAACTAAAGAAACACGAACCACTCCTCTATTTTCATACCAGTTGTCCAGTTATTTTATTCAAGATGTCTGTCAATGATGAATAATAAACTAACAATATAGAGAGAATATCACAACTTATTTGAGCTCATTTTCAATTTTGCCTTGAATTCTAGGTCATCCCAGCAGTTCACAGAGCTCAAATAATCGATGATTCCTGGAGTTTAGCTTCGTAAGTTTCAATTTTAGCAGTGTATGTCAGATTTGATTATGCATATTGGCAACTTATATCCATTAAGTTAATTACCTTACTATCACATTGGGTTAATTGTTGCAAGTAAGGAAAGGGCATAACCACCAGTTTAGAACACCAGATGCCACTCTGCAATTCGATTTGCAAAGAATGCCGTAATAAATCCAATATTACGTCTTCTAACCAAAATCAAAGTCGAATATCACTGGAAAAGATAAGTCAACGACAGTTAAAAAAAAAGTGGATAAAAATGCACATTAAAATTTTCAATAGCCAAATTGGCATTGTAATTGCTAAGAAATCGCTATCTTGCATTCATTTCAGAGCAGATATGTTGGATCTGAATATTGCCCTCATATCAATACATTATATAATCAGAGAGATGGAGTACATTCCTTATAAAGTGGCACAGAAACAGTTCGATTTTGTGGACAATATTCTGTACAATACAGCTATAATAACAGCTTGGCAGGTATAACACACCTTAAACCTACTCTAAAAGTCTGTGAGTTATACACTGACCTCCATCACAATGAAGTACCACAAGTTGTCTGTCGACATCGCTGGTGAAGCAGTACACGCTCATCTTAAAGATTCATATGATGTTAATCTTGGGTGTGTCATTTTGACAGCCTTCTAAGAATGTGCAACTAACTTGTAAAGTTTATTAGGCAATAAATTTTAAGTAACATCAAATATGTCAAAACACTATTATAAAAATATATATTTTCTTATTGTAGGATTATATAGTTTCTCAAATCAAATCGTCATTTAATGTTCTTACCAAAGATAATTCAGGATCTTCCCATGTACGAAAGTAGGTCATCTGATTTTTTTGTCTTTTGTACTGGCTGTTAATATTTGTTTAATTACTTTTCCTAACTTTATAGAACAAAATTGGTATCAATTGGTACAAATTTTGAAAGTATAGTGTGTGCAAATTGTTTTGTGCGTTTGTTCGTAATTCTAGTCATTGTTTAAGGGCTGCTGTCGTTCAACTTTTCAGAATCATAATGCCAGGTTTTGGTAAATCTACAATTAAAGAAAAAAATATTGACAGGTTGGTTCAAAATTAAAAGCAAATGTAAAATTTTGAACTAAGGCGCCTGACATTTCAAACTGTTGGTTTTGTTTTTCAGATTACTAAGATCATCAATAGTATCAACAGCATGTAAATATGGTCTACAAGAATGTATCCTAACTTCAAAATATCTCTTTAAAATGTGGATGAAGGACCCTGAAAATTACAGGTAGGCAATTAGTTTGGAAGATTTCTATCCCTAGATTTTACCACAGTGTTTGGTCGTATATTGAGAAGACCTTGCTATTTCAGTCCACTTCATATCTTTCTACTTATTGTTCCACGACGTGATGCGCAATGCCCCCCCGAAAAAATTCTGCCAGCCAATCAATATAATTACTGCAACTAAGCAAAATGATCTAAGAGCGAGGGCACACGAACAGACTTGGTCGCCGATTTTTGTCACCGACAGTAGTCTTGTCCTGAGTTTCACCCACAGCACTGGCTGTGGGCACACGTTGAGAAAAAATCTCCAGTCGGACGTTTTCCACTATTTCGATATACACGTGCGGATCATGCAACTGAAGGGAAAATGAATCTGATTTGGTGATGAATTTCTGTCTTGCAAACGATAAAATTATCTGTGGCAAATATCAAACTTTGATATTATAAATCGACAATGCGATAATCTTGTCGTGGAAGCGCGGACACATCGAGATTCTACTGAAGATTCAATAGAACAACAATAATGTGTGACCACAACTGTCTGAGTCCCCGCAACCATACTTTCAACAATAAGCAATAGATCAATATTGATTCACCAACCAAGGAATATTTTGATATCAGTTGTCTCCCTTGAAGTACTGTCACTTATAGATGGAAAATTAGTTACCTTATTTTGAACTCACAAGCGGGGGTCTTTTTTTTTATCATAAACAGATTTAATTCAAAGGGATCGTAAAGAGGTTTTCTAAAAATTTGATGTGTATCGAAGACACCAACAGCATAAATTTGCACCATTCTAATTTTCAATCAATCTAATAATCAATGCATCACTGTATAATGCATCTTGCCAAGAATCAGCAAAACCGCTGATAATGCATCACTGAATAATTCATCTTCTTAAGAAGATTCAATTACTTTTTTTTATACATTTGTTTTTTATACATTTGTAAGAATATCAATTACTTTTCATGTTTAAATGTTAATTTAATAAAAGGCATCAAATCTCTTCAATCAGCTGATGAAGACCGCCCAAACACTAGTTTCTAAGTATGTTTCTCATAAATCTTGGTTTAATATATTCCAGGATTGATCCAGATTTAAAGTCTACCATTTATTGTACAGCAGTGAAACATGGTAAAATGAAAGAATATAAGTTTGCTTTTAATCAGTATAAATCTTCCAAGTCAGAATCAGAGAAAAATCTGTTGTTAAATGCTATGGCTTGTACTAAAAGTCAATGGTTATTAGGAAGGTATGCATAATTATAAATATATACTAATATAGACAATTTGAGACAAATGTTGATCGAAAGCTTTACCAAATAATAACTTAATACGCCAATTAAATCCCAATGAGAATGTCCTAATTACCCATATTACTATACAGTGTTCGAAGGGGCCGTATTCAGGAAAACTTAGGATGATATTAGTGTTCCAGCCATCTTATTAGTCAGTTACTAAATATCAATTTTAAACTAAGTTGTATTATCCAATCAAATAACCGTATTTGATTAAATCTGGATTTTATCTGAATTAAGCTTTCCTGGATTTTATCTTAATTAAGCCTTCCAGAATATGCCCCCCTGGATGGTATTGTAATATTTTGATTTGGCTGATCTAGTGGTATATTTCAATGATTTCATGAATTGTCATTGTGTTGGGAATGTAGGGGTAGACTCCGGTGCACTTTCAATTCAAAATATATTGAATTCATCGCAGATTACATGAGAGTATCGAAAAAGTGTCCACTTTTAACGAAGGGGGATTGCAGATTCCGTCCATGTCAAACTATAGGATTAGATCTTTGATTAAAAATAAAAATCTAGTAACTAATTTCAGACGGACTCAACTGCAATTTTCAGTCATAGCTCAATTTTTAGCAATCGTTGAAAATCTAGTCGCCTCAATTCGACCCTACCTTTCTTAAAATTTGTTCATGTTCTCCCAATGATGCACGTGTTATACGAAAGTCATGTTTATTGGCAAATCCAACAGCAGATTTTTACAATATAAGCAATTACATGCCTGATAAACTGTTTTTGTTTTCTGAAATTAGTGTTGCCTTTATACTTCCAGATACTTATCCGCGGCGTTGGATAATAGACATATACGCAAGTCGGATACTTTGAAGGTTTTCATGCATATCGCCTCCATCTCAGCCAATAGAAATCTGGTATGGGAATTTATTACCAAAAATTGGGATCAGATTTTTAAAAAGTGAGTAACTTGATGTGTTTTTGCTTATGCTGCTTTAATTTAGAATTCTCATCGACCGTTGCTCGCTAACCTGAAGATTCTGTGTTCGATCCCGTTAGAGGTCAAGATAATACCTTGGATTTTCTATCCGGGATGATGGTGGGACAGGCCGACATGAACAGGCGTCTAATCGCGATAAATCGATTCGAAAGTCAAATTTCACACGAAAATGTTTCATATTATTTATATTCCAATGACCCTGTAGCTAATGCTTTTTATTGAAAAGCTGGAAAAAAATCGAGTTAAGCCAAGCATCCTTCGTGTTTGAAAAGTGTCAATTTATACTTTCAATTTATTGTAGTTATAATGGATCACCAATGCTTGCTAAAACGATATCTACTGTAACAAATGGCATGAAAACAATCCGGGAACTGGACGATGTAAGTACACACAAAATTAATTAATCCTTATTCTAGCTGCATCAGTGCCTGATCAAAATTTTCCTATTCCACTTCGGAAAATGCTAACATAATGTTTTAAAGTATTCTCCCTAAAGAAGTGTGAACAACCCCAGTTTTCAAGATTCAGTGATCCAGATGGGATAAGCACACTTGATTGCGACATCCGTCAAGCGCTTGATTGTCGTAAAGCCAATTCAGTATTTGAGCGAACTGGCCAACTGATTTTTTTTTCTTCAAGAGGAAACGAATAGTCAGAATTTAAATTTGTCTTCTAATAAAGCAATGCTTGTATTTTTTATGTATTACAGGTTGAAGATTTTCTATTTTCACATCCTGATTTAGGCAATACCGAGACAGTCTTCCATCAAGCCACAGAAAAAATTCAGTTTAATATTCGATGGATACATTATCATTATGAAACACTTGAAAAATATTTAAAAGTGTTGAAATTTCTGTAAGGAAAAATATGTAAATAAAGAAAAAAATGGTGATTTTTATGCCTGATGTGGAATTGTATACGTGCTATATGGATCACTTTTAGAGCTTTCTTTCGTACATGTATTTTGAAAATCTAGAAATCAAATCTGAAATCTATATGCCTCCCAGCGATATCAGGTTCCAAAGTTATTGCCCCTTATCCACAGTTATCATGATTTAAGTAGTTACAGTTATACATTAATACTTCTAGTCTAGAAACGAAAATTGAATCTGTCTTAATTGCAAAGAGGAGCTCGCGTCCAACAGAGAGAGATGAGATCGACTGTTGGTAGCTGTCAGAATCTTGGAGAATCTGAACAATAACTCGACTAGGTGGAACAAGAGAGCAACGTCAACTAAAAAATGGCAGTTGCCATCAGGTGCTCATGTTTTACTTTCAATATAATTGTGGGGTCTTGCCGTAGACCTCTAAGGCCGGAATATGTTACCAGATCGCAGTTATCTGTATTGGGTCAATTTCTCGATAAGTGTATTGTTGATGTCGACTGCGACAGATCTGATGAGACGTTTTGAATTAGGTAACCTCCCACTTGTGTGCAAGTTTTGTGGAGAAAATCAACAAATTCTGCAATTATATTTAATAATAGTCATATCCCACTTGAACTTGTAATAGAATATAGTGTTAATATTGATTTGAATGTGTATAGGTTCGTCTGATTTTTTAAATTTTTGGCATTTTTCCGTTCGGTTGTAGAATTTAAATAATAGTAAAATAAAAGTAAATTGAAAGAAACGGCTTCTATTTTAAAATTCACGTATAAATTTCTCACAATTCTTTCAAAATAAAACATAACTATATTGAGATGGAAGAAAATTGAGTAATGCCATTCTTTAGTCGAACAATAATGTTATTAGTCAGAATAGTACTGAAAATTCAAATACCTCTGCGTCTAACCCCCGAGTGAACTCTTGGTTATATCATTACAGAAGAAAAAGAACAATAGCAGACCTCCTGTAATGAAGGAGATAAGAGGTGATATTACATGTAGAAAATGATGAGGATAGCACGAGTTTATTTGTTTATTCTAGACTAATTTTCGCCTCATTGAATCGAGATTGACAAATCCCCACTTACATTATCGTATTATTATCATATACCTACTTACCATGCCTCTATATCTCTACATTTTTTTCTCTCTGTTTTCTTTCAATTCATTACCACGTGCATTTTCAAGATAAGACTTATAGTTTTCAAGGTTTTCTTTAGACTTTTTGCTTCTTTAGACTTATTACTGCTATTCACTGCTTTGTATGGCACTGAATGTACAAATAGCCCAACTCTTTATTATTTATTGTAGTAGTGGAATACTATATGGATTACCACTTCACCCCCCCCCCCCCCCCCCAGTTTTCAACACCAGAACTGCGTCTTAGAAGATCATGGAAAATAGTACGTGACTGTAAACATCTTTCGTTTCATGATACAATTCTAAGCTCATTAATACTCAAAATTATCAGTATCAGGTAACGACAAGTATGACATGCGTAAAACTCCGTTTAATTTCAGTGAATTCCAAACTGTCAGTATTAAATTCTGAAAATGTGGGAGCAGCTCTTTTTTGATATACCACCGAACCTCAATAAAATTGTTTCACAGATACTGATTTAGTAAATAAATTTATGACTTATTATAGATGAGAACTGGGAGTATATGTATTCTGTATTTTTCTCTGCATCATTTATAGCTTCTGTGTACACCATTTAAACCACGAGGAGGATACAAATAGAAGTTCCCCGTGTATATCTTTTATAGCTGACCTATAGACCAGAAAGCCTCTTTTATAGGTTCCTGTTAAAAGGGACACGTTTGCCATCCGTTTGATAAAATTGTACTGAAGTCTCAGAAATGGAAATTATTTTTAGTTAAGCTAATCAGTATAATATTGTTCGTGGCTCACCTGCGACATTTGAGAATGTGTGTACAGAATTATCCGCATTTGAAAGTTAAAAAAGACGACTCGTCTTCTTGATACTCCGCCATATAGAAAAGACATATATATAAATAGAAATTTCTTATCTAGTTTGAGGTATATTTGAAATGATTATGGTATTTCTGTGCAGTAATTCCGAAGACTATTTACATATATTCAAATGAACTGTGGCCTTTAAAGATGATAAAATAGGGGCATCGTTTCAGTTTATGAAGCAAGGAATTTGTGTATGACGATCAAAAAGTTCATAGATCATTGGTCTATAATTCAAGGTGTACGAAAACAGAAAAAGACTACTGTATCATTAATCCACTCAATGTCCTTAAGCCACTAATCCATGGATTATCTGTACAGATTAATATAGGAAATGTGCTAAACCCGATAAGATCATTAAGGATAAGCGTGAATTAGGCCCTTTATAGTGTTACCGGAATGCTGATAAGGAATGTTGGTAAGAGCTTTTCTTAAACTGCCAAGAACCACTGCCACTCTGCGATTGAATTGTGAACGCGACATACGTTTCAAAGAGTCAACCTACCTACACATGATATTCGTCTCTCTGTTCCAATGCGCTACACATTATAGGACTAGTAAAGTACAATTTGCTGTATCTTGATAGTTCATGGTAGATTTCTGGGGTCGGGTTTAGAACTGGAACCGACCTCTTCAGTGAAAGTTTATATGACGTGAAATGATATGAGTATTTTTATTGTGATTTAGTGGTGTTTTCCTTTCAAAATCGGGCCACGAAACCCAGGGTTAGCTTCATATGAATTTTAATTCAATGGGGTCGATATAATAAAGCATGGTTTTAATAAATACTTCTAAAATATCAATAAACACGACTATACATAAGTTTACAGTCTCACTCGACCGACTTGTTGCAAATCTAATAGAATTCAAAGTAGGTAGGTTCAAATTATTACTAATGTATCGGGGAAATGAGACAAGACGTGGTTCATTGTACAATACCCTATTATATAAAGCAAAAAGATATGCATTGCTCGACATTTAAAATATGTTGCGTTTTCAAATGCAATTTTATGTGTCATCTTGACTTAACTTACCAATTAAATATGAGTAAACTATTTAGCGAAGTCTCTTCCAAATCCCTACTTGACATTTGAACGAGTTGGAGAGAGGCCCTGAGTTGCATTTACTTGTCAGCTTATGCTTAAATCACACGAAGTTTTAATTTCGATATGAATTTAATATGTCAGTCACGTCCTAACGATTAGACTTTTACAGCAACAAGTATGCATAATTATTGTTCAGTTATACATAGTTGTCTGAATACCAACAAAATAAAAGGCATAAAAGGGTGTAGCGCAAGGCGACTCTCTTATACCTTCCTTATTCACTAATTCGGCAAATGACCATGTGCCCTAGATTTCATTTTTTACAGTTTTAACTGTCAAATCAAAGAGTGTAATTTAAAACAAAAAACACTACCAATAAAATATATTGGAATAAACATTTCAAGTTACATGATGTGAATTGCATTCAGAATTGTAAACTTACAAACCTGGAGATTTAAAACCAATTAAGTTTTTGGCCGATACCTGTAAGAAATGAATAAATGGATTAGTCCAATGATAATATTGAGGTAGATTGTCAGATGATAAATTTCGCGTGTTAACGGAAAGTATTATTTATCTTTGTTGAAATAACCGAAATAGTAAGTTTTCGAGAAAAATCTTTACACATGTTGGTAGTAGTTTAAACAGCTGAAAATAATTGTCAACTTGAGATCGTAACCTCGACATTGTTTTGACCCCTGTGTCCCTTTCAATATCCAATGGACGTTGCCGAAAGGGTTAAATGTGTAGATTATGGTAAATAGTATATTCAGGTATTGAAATATTTACGGTGACAAATCAGCCCTTGTGAACACTATGTCATCCACAGAGCGGATTGAATTCGATGACATGAATAAATATGGTAGCAATACCGAATTGAGTTCCAATTCTGGCAAATCCAATGGAGGATTCCATGTCTCGACTGCTAAAGCTTTTATTTTGTTATTATTGGGAGTGTTAATTGCTATAGTTATTGGACTCATTGTGCATTTCGCTGGAAATGGTAAAGAAATTGTTTGTAGTTGTCCACAAACTGAATCTAATGGAAATAATGTACCCGTTGCTGACCGAATTACAGAATGCAAGAATTGGGCGGGTGAAGGCAATACAGAAATATGTAAGTTATCATTTTAACCCATTTTCTAAATGTTACATATATAGTTTAATTGTTATATCCTAAGTGTGTGTTTCTATTGTTTTAGTTTAGAATATATTATATGATAAAATCATGGTTTGTTACATTTCAAGCTTGTAATATAAATCTTAACTGCTATATAACTCTATTGTTTCAAGATTATTTACACGACAAAACAGACGGCGTTTCTACGTGACAGTTTCACCGCTAAAGAAAAATATGAGACATCATTAAACTAACCTTGACATTTCCAACTGACAGGGCTTAGTTTTTCCTCCGCTGTGCATCAAATACACGTATTATATTAAAGTTCAGGAGAGACTGTATTCTCTAGCCAAGAACAAAGATGGGTTCAAGTCCACTCTCGATTCAAAGCATCTTCAGGATCCGTCGCAGTTCAGATACAGGTACAATCTATCAACTGCAGAACTTGATGGTATCGGGTTTGGAACAATCGGGTCGTCGACAAGATCCAGCTTTCGCAAGAGAATACAAACTACAATTTCCAATCGTTGGTGCGATTCGGCCCATAGTCAAATGATTGATCTGACGGTCGTCATTAGCCCACAATGTGCATTTGATTGATCTGAGGGACAAGCAATTTTATATCCGGAGAGGCAAACGTGTATGCTGTGTAGTTAAGGGCAATTATGTATAGTGTTAAGAATTTTTTCAGTAGGCAATCCATTTTTCTGGGGGATGGGGATGGGGTTAGTCAAACTCTCGTAGATGCCATAATTTTCTTGAAAATTCAGATTCTCACAAATCCAGCAAAAAAGTAGACCCGGAATATACCTTAATTACAGATTAAAATATAGATGTGATGACAAATTACATTTTCTCGAACATAAATCATTTTTTTTTTCTGAAATAGGATGAGCAAATCCTGCTAGAACCGGATGTTTTTCGAAGAATTATAAATGAAAGGTCCGACATAAATATGGAAGATAAATACGTTGTTATAAGACACCAGTATATATTTAATACAATTATATAATATTTTATATGCAGTTATGTTGCATTGAAACATTATTATAAAACTCGCGTTAAAATGTGACATAGTTTTAGAGTGCAGAAGTGACACGAGACGTTGTATTACTCGCATGTTTTTTCGGTGATTTGTGCATTTTCCAATGTGCCTAGATATCTATTTTAAAGCCGAACCCAATTTGGACCTAGGCCTAATGTGTTCGAACAACAAAAATAATTGGGTAATATATTTGCAGACATTTATTGCACGATTAATTTTCTACACTATAACTGTGATACTTAATTCGCTTTACAAATAGTATATTATTGAAGGTCATCGGTACATTCAAAGTAATCTTTGGTGGGTCGCGCCGCGGTAACGCTGATGGGAAAAAATCAAATGGAGTTTTACGTCCTACTTTTCTGCTTCTGTTTGGGTTAATGAAGACGGGTAACGCCATGCATCCTGCAATGAGAGAAATTTTGAGGACAATGAAATTTGCCAAATACTCTTTGTTTGGCTTTGTTGTTTTGTGTCTTTATACATTGACAGTGCTATTGTATTTGCAAAGAATAACCTACAAATATATTGTATTTGCAAAGAATAACCTACAAATATTTTAACATATGAAAGATAAAAAAGGTTGCATATATATTTAGTTTATATTGCACGATTCACTTATCGCCTTCAATGGAGTTTTTGTCGAAATAGTGCTTACAAAGGATAATAGATGCATATCATATTATTGTGTTGTTAATTATATCCTGTAGAAATACCTCGTGAGATGTGTGTTCAAGGAGAAACTGACTTAATTCTGGCGAAAAGATAGGGTCTCGACCAATTAAATTTTCTTTCGCCACATTTCTGTTCCCATAGCACATGATCGTCACATCGGACTCCGACCATTTGCTATCTTACGGCGATATGAAATGTACTAGGTCGCGGTCAAACGTGGGGAAAACTAGAGCGATAAGTCTAAAAAATTACAAACTTAAAAACAATCGACCTCATACTATCAGTTATGCGACCATATTGCGTTCAAATGCCTTGTCACACGTGTACTGTGCTTTTATAGATCTCAGTGAGATGGTACAACGCTTGTCTGGCGGCCTTCTCGATCCCATGGCGTTCTCAACGCTTTCCAGAACAGATTCACCGAAAGAAAGAAGAATCACCGGGACTCAGGGAATAGTGGCGACAATTGCACGAACAATGTCTGGCGTGTCATACACGCTTATACCACAATTATGGCGACCATTATTTTCCATCACAGTAGCAGCGCAGTAAGAACGTATTTCCGATGTGACAGGGCCGTTATGGCGTATTCATGTCAACGGGTCATGATTATTAAGGACTGAAGGATGACAAGTATTTTCTCTAATACATGTATTCCTTTGAGCTTCAAAAATTGCACTTTAGGAATAACGTATCACATGGACTTGTATCTGATCTAAAGAAATAAAAACGAATATATGAATTGTTTTATAAATTAGACTTCTACATCACTTTAAATCTTACAAAGAGTTTCAATGGGATGCCCCCTCAGACAAGAGGTTGGCCCGGCTTGGTCCCCCCCAACCCCAGCCCAACTTGCAATTTGTTTATCATTTTACATTGTAAAAGAATGGCCTGTGTCCCCTTCTTTGGCCCCTGCCCTCACCCAAAATTACTTGAATCTCCAGTGCTTACAAAAAGATGACGTTTTACATACAAGTTCGCAGGTTATTTAACTTATTGATATTGATAAAAATAGATTAGTTATGATAATCTGTAATCCCATTGATGATGACGTTTGTTGATCTATTTCAAATTCAATATAAAGCATAACAGATATTAACAGGTCAGGGGTCATTCAATATCAATTAATGTTTCCTTATATCCCTGAAGTAACGCGTCAGTGTTACAAGGTAATTTTCAGTCAATATTTATGCACAGTGGGAATACGCAATTTCAATCTCGAACTTTCAAGTGTGTAAATAATCATCTAATATTAAGAGTACTCTTCGTCTCTATACACTTACAAAATTCTACAAAGGGAACAACGCATTCTGTGTGAGAGCAAATATGAGTTAACGAGAAAATTATTTCTCACCCGTGAACACAGACAGGTTAAACTAGTGTGCATATTTCCGGTTTGGAGGTTTGTAAAGTCATCTCAACAGACAAGATTATTTCTATTTAGATTTCGGGGAGGGGAGGGTTTGATTCTCCCAAATGTACAGGCCTAGGGTGGAGCAGACACTTTATTTAGAAATTAGGATTAAGGGTCTTGATATTGGGTTTTCTTCTGTTCTTATTTTGATCTGAAATTAGAAAAAATAACTCGCCCGATGGGCGAGAAGTATAGTATCTGTTATGTACTGATTGTTTTTAGTTTACTATGAACAATATTATCATTTTAGTTCTTATTTTTTGAATATGCAACTATCATTTTCTGCTTATAGACATGGGGGAATTTCTCTTGAAGGCTCTTATAGTGGGCATGAACTATCTTGCTTGCTCGATTGCTGGTTGTATTAAACGGGACAACAAAGGGTGCTATGCCTACATTATGATGAATATTTAGTCCTATAGGTCTTGCTGTATTCAATGTCTCAATCCAATGGGCCTCCCTAGATTGACGGAATTTGGTAGTTTCATCTTCGGGCAAGTCAATTTCTATACGCTCAATTGTGATTAGGGTGAGATCGTCTATTGAATGGTCGTCGAGGTTGAAATGATTAGAAACAGGCTTGTCTTTCTTTAATTTGATGTCTGACCTATGAGCATTAAAGCGAGTTCGTAAATTATTCTTAGTTTCTCCTACATATTGTTTGGGGCATTTCTTGCATGAAATCAAATATATTACATTCGAATGTTCACATGTTAGATGTTCCTGGATCGGGTACCTTTTATTCGTAGAGTTGCTTACAAAATAATGAGTTTCTGATATAAAGGAACATGTTTTGCATCTACTGGACAAACATGGAGCACTTCTTAAACCTGGAGGTACTTCGGCATAAAGTCTGTTTTTAGCTGCTATCTGTGCTAAGGTGGAATTTTTTATGTTTCGTAAAAATCGTTTATAGTACCCACGCTCTTTCAGTTTTGAGAAAACAATCGTACAGGCTTGGTTGAAATCAGAAGATCTTGTACAAATTCGATGAAATCGTAAAACTTGTGACTTAATTATACCAGAAAAGGTATGTTTTGGGTGAAAGGAGCTCTTGTGCAAGAGTTGATGAGTATCAGTTTCTTTGAAATACACTTTAATATCCAGTTTATTTGTTTCTGCTATGGAATCTCCCTTAAAGACTGTGGTATCGAGAAAGTCTATGCTTTTGTCACTCACGTTTGCGGTTAGTTTGATAGAAGGATGGTGGTTGTTGAGAATTTCAAAGAATTCCCAAAACTGTTCGATAGAATAAGTCCAAACCATAAAAATGTCATCCAAAAAGCGTCCGTAAAAAAGTGGGTCAAATGGACAGAGGGGCAACACCTCACGTTCCCACTCTGCCATGAAAAGGTTTGCGTACGAAGGGGCGAATCGTTTGCCCATTGCTGTCCCTGAAGTTTGTAAATATGTTTTACCATTAAATGTGAAATCGTTTCGACTAAGACAAATCTCTAAAAGCTGTAGAATTGCATCGTCGGGTCTGTTTGGATCTGGGTTTCTATTAAAAGCTTTACGAACTGCCGTTAAACCAGTAGTGTTATCGATATTGGTATACATAGAAGAAACGTCGATAGAAATTAAAATAGCATTAGAGGGAACTCGAAGATTTTTTATTTTATTGACAAAATCGGTTGTGTCTTTAAGGTAGGCGCGATGTTGGCATGCTAGAGGTAGTAAGAAATGATCAATGTATTCTGACACTGCATATGACTCACTACCACAGTCATATATTAACGGGCGGCCTTTAGGGATTTTATTCGAGATAAACCACTCCTTGGTTGGATTCTTATGGATTTTAGGCAAAGTGTACAAATGTCTCTCGCGACAATCAGGTTTGGCAGACAGATAGTCATATTGTTTCTGTTTGAGATAACTAGTTTTGACTAAATCGGCAAGAATATTATTAATCATGTTAGCAGTTTCTTTGAAAATTGGTTTCGGTAAAATGGCATAAAATTTAGGATTATTCAGTTGATTCTCTGCTTCTGAAACGTAATCCTCCCTATTCAGAATGACACAACACGAACCTTTGTCACTCTTTTTAATAACAATGCTATCGTCTTTCTTAAGTAAGTTTAACGCTTCACGTTCCACTCGTGTGAGATTAGGCTTTTCGTGTGTTATGGAAAGGTTCACTGTTTGGCTATTCATACTCGCAAATGCTTTCAATATTTCAGGATGGATGGCGGCCTGAGGGGGTGTCCACGTGGATTTAGGAATAAACATTGTTCTAGCACCACGTGGGGGATGGTTTCGAAAAAAATATGTGCAGCTAAGATTTCGTTGAAATCGTTCAATGGATGGTCGGAGATAATTCAAGTTAGCTATCTTTGGTGTGGGAATAAACTTAAGTCCACGGTCTAAGATTGAATGCTGAAGGGGTGTGAGAATTTTGCGGCTCAAGTTAACTACAGTTTGGCCTAGCAGTGGCCTCTCAGTATTTTTATCCCCAGTAATTAGTTTAAAGACTTACTCGATGCTTGAAGCTGGTGTATCCAAAACAAATAGATGCTGTTTGCTGTTTCTGGAGACCAATGAAGATTATCAACTGTTTCGAATTCTTCTTCGTAGGGTGGTAAGATTGTTGCGCTGTTGATACTGGACTCCATCATCATGTTGTTGAGAGTGCTGAGGTTCTGTTGTGCTTTCTTCGAGATTTTATTTGAAATGGGTATACATGTGAAGAGGATCTTGGAGTTTGGGAGGGTTTTGTTGGCTGTGGCGATTAATTTCTGGGCTTGGTTAAGGTCTTTGGTATCTGATCACGGTTGTTGAGGCCTACATGAAGAATAATGGTAGTAGGTTTGGGATCATGGTCGTATGATTCCAGGATTGACTGTATGTGATGGATTTTGGCACCGGGGTAAGAATGTATTTCGGTTTCTGAACTGGTTTTGGTAATTCGATTCAGGTTAGATGATCCAATTATTAAGGTAGACTTCTTTAGAGCAGGTAGTTTCCATAATGATTTGTCCTTGGTTTGGTGATAATACGGTTTGGTAGCGGATATAATGGTCGTCGACGGTGTGATTGGTACTGGTTTGGTAGTTGTTAGAATTGTAGCATTGGGAACGGACTGGGATCTGGTTCGAGGAGGGGAAGGTCTGGATACACGTCTCGACTTGGATGGAGACTGAGGGGTGGTTTGCTGGTCCAAAAACGCACAGAAGGAAGAAAGGTTGGCGGATCCTGGATCACGTGGTGAAGATTCAGATGGTGTGGAAGGGGAAGACGAGTCTGAAAGTGAAAAGAGAAGGGGTGTGCCCTCTCTACGAGAGCGTTTACCTATGTCTGCTGGACTAGGAGTATAAAAATTATGAAAAAATACCCAGTGGCTTATTTAGACGGTAATTTCGTGGTGGCGTCCACCGCGGGTCATAAAAAATGTATTCTACTTTCACGTCCAAAGTCTCGTTAGATGTATTCTGCGGCTTCCCACACCAAAAAATTTGTAAGGGAAAACCCCAACCATGACTTGTGCCCTCTAAAATACCCCAAAAATACCCCCCGCCCTTAACCTTAAAGAAATCCGCGCAAAAAATATCCCACCAAATATAAATAGTCTATGTCATTCACAGCGACATGTTATCGCTAATTAATATCTTTACCTTACCAAAATGACTAATTTTAATCTACATTTTCATTTGACCATATAATTCATGAAACTTGATATATTATAGCCTATCTTATTGTAAGCTTCTTTTCCATATTTATGAGCTCTTATCATATAGGCTAAATAATATGAAACCATCCCTTTGGCACAAACTTAAATATTTACCGAGAGCCTTAGCTAATTTGTTTTCGGAATGATCTTGATATTTCGTTCCTTTTCAAAAATACATGTTTATTGAAATTTACATAATATAGTGTTTAAAATCACGACATGCGAATCTATTTAGATTTAGCAATTGGTGATGATTTTGTGAAAGAAACGCGAGTCGGCTGCAAGAAATGAGCTCTGGTCACCAAGATATGGTTTTAAATCAGAATTAGATCATGACAGTCACGGAATTCCTTATAATGTAGTGACAAATCTTTTTTTATCAATAGAGCATTTGATTTGTTTAACTGCCTTGAATTTGGAACATACCTTCGGATTTTTCAACCCGGTTTCCCCCTGTCAGTGATGCAGGTAAAAGGGCTGACATGGAAAAAGCGTCTAGTTCGGATGGGACAATAAACCGAGGCCCCGTGTGCTACAGGCTCTGCACGTTAAAGATCCCTCGACCGTTGGAAATCGAAAAAGAGCAGGCTAATGCCGCTGTCCTGGCAAAATTTCCTCATGGCATCGGGCATGGCGTTGCCCGTCTTCATTAGCCCACATGGTGCAGAAAAGTAAGACGCAAAACTCCATTCATTTCATTTCATTTGAACTTAAAACGCGTTTCTTTTTCAATAATTATTTTTAAATATTATAAATCCTGTCGGGGACGCGATAATCTTGTCGTGAAATCACGGACACACGTGAGATTTTACTCAAGACTCTAATCGGCGACAAAAATCTCCGACCAAGACCGCTCTTGTTCCCACACCTTTAGTCTAATGGATCTATCGTCTTAAACAGGTAATACTGGTCCCTGAGAATTGACTTTGTAATACCAAATTATAATTACGTCACCAGTTAAGCCGAAATTACCTTTGTTTATAATATAAACAAATAACTTAATTATCTATCAGGGGGGTTTCTTGTAAAATGTTTAAAACTAACATTAACAAGTTTATTTCTGTGTCTGAATTTCACTCCCTACCAGGAAAACAGAAATATCAATTAAATTTTCTTTTCGTGTTGTTTCTCTGTATATATATATATGTTAAACCCTTAAAGATGGGTTCCCTACCTATGAATAGAAAGTAGAAGTGTTCTAATGACTAAAAACCGGTTTTTCTCACATGTCCATGATTAACAATTAACAAGTTAAATTAGACGAGAATTACCAGCAGAATTTCAACGAGAAACCTATCAAGAAAGGTCAAAAAGTTTTTTTTTGTTTATCCAGACTGTACATACACGGATACATTTATGACTGGTTACAACTTAATTATATGATAAAGTATGCATGATAACCAATTAATCAAATAATTTGCTTAATTTGACACTGAAAATAAGTAAGTGCTTCAATATTTTTCGCTTTTGGAAGAAGTCTCTACATCAGCTACATCATTTTCGGTTAACTCTTTCTGGAATTGAGGGAACCACAGACATTGGACGAAGAATAGGTGTCCCCGATACACATAAAAAGTTTAGAAAACCTCTTTACAGTCCCTTTAATTACACTCTGCGGCCAACCAGGCTGATTTCGTGATTGTACTCGTGGTATTTTCTGAACGTGTTTTATCATTTTATACGTAATTGTAATTTTTTGTTATCATGCATTTCTAATGGCAATGACGTCAGTCACAAATTGTTCAATAAAAAGATACAAATAGATTACTGAAAAAATAAAATAATCAGGCTCTCAAAAAGAAAGACTAAGGCCCACTGACACGAATTTTGTCCCCGCATGGGTCGACCCAAGGTGTGTCATTTCGCAGCAGAGCACAGTTTTTTCAATCGAGTTTAGTTTTACCAGCCGAGAAAAGCCAAATATTAACCGTTTACATGTAAGTAAATCTTATGACGTGCTTTGCAATGATAATATAACATTATATTTGACCATTATACAGACTCTCACAATAACCTATTTAATATCATAGCTCCTTCGACAAGTCATGAATTGAAACGTGACAAGTTTTTATCAAGTGTATTCTTTTTCAGCATAAATTTATACTATGGACAGCAAACAACGACAGGAAAAGGGGCGTATTTCGACCTTGCGAATAACAAAGTACCGATGTTTTCAACGACTGAAATGATCTACTGGCCTCTGTTGGTATTCAAGAATGAAAAATTTGAATGACCAATATGTCAAGCTGAGGTATCAATCAGATGGGTCAATTTTTACCAAAACATTGGGTTGAAAGCAAGAGTCAAATCTCTGTACTTTAAAGGGGAATAAACACCATAAGATCGCACCTTGATCTCAGTAACAGGAATCGTTAGGTACCTTATAGATATGGATATCCATAATTATCCGCATTTGAAAATGCCATTGACGACTCGTCTTTTCTTGAGCGTCATAGTTCATAAATTGATTTTTTTATAATAACTATTGCTCGGGCTTAGACGTACATTGTTTGATTTCGTTGTAAGGCCATTTCAGTTAGAACATCCGCAAGCTACATTTCCTATTAAAGACCTTGTCGAGAAGGCGTACAACATCCAGATAGATGGGGGAGAAAACACAGGAGATGAAAATGTAAGGATATTGAGATTTTCGCACTATTCCAGTTTTCAGGTAGACTACTGACCCATATTCAAGGCCCAAATCAACCCCGAAATGTTTCTGCCCCCAAAGCTGAAATAAATAAGCCTCCGTAACCTAATTTCTCAAGGCTATCAAATGTGTAAGAATAAATATACGCGTGTCAATATTGTTTGGTCGATTCGCCACTGTTAAGAAAGAATATGCAAATTGCGAGTATATACACTTGATATAGATCAAAATTTGTATACATAGGGTTTGAAAATGTAAACAGTATTATATACTATATAGGCGCTGTTGAGAGTAAAATGGTATAAAATAAATATTTATTCTGTAACTGTATAATATATAAACTTGTGATTCAGACTTCAGACAGAGTGTCAAAGAAAAACAATCGTCTATTCTTTTACCATTGAACAATAAAAGACGCCCGTTTCACTTACACCGTTATATCTATTTAAACGAATTGTTTCAATTAGTTAAGGCTAATTTTTCAAGGCCTATCCAATCGCCATTTTCAATTTTTTCAAGCAGTTCAGTTCTATTTGATTGTGCTTTAAAAATGGTTCCTTCTGTAATTATTGACCTTTCACTGATTAATACTATTTTAATGACAGTACCCAGAATACGATGATATTGGTAGTCATGCGAACGCCGTAAATGAGACGTTTTCTGTTCTCCTTTTGGTTTGTTTTTTTGTTTTTTTGTTTTTGGTCGTTATAAGATCGTCAGATTCAATTGTGTATTTTCTTTCAGAAATTAGGTCATGGTAAAGACTGAGTATTTTCCTGTGTCGTTCTCCACGTCATTTAAAATTCTACTAATCTTTTATAGGTCCTCTTCTATTCAAATAAAACATACTGAATCAACTCGGTTCTGAGAAACAAAATCTATTTAATAACCTCTCAATGGGCGTTAACGTCGCCGAGTGCTTGACCATTAGCTTACTGAAACCTCTTTGGTCTATTTTTTTTATCTTTTATACCTTTGTTTACTAGCTTTATAACATTGATATTTAAGATCAATCTACATGAAAATTAGATTTAGATTTCAGAGGGTACTAAAAATGAGATCGTTTACATATAACCTACCGCATAATATTCCACTAATATAAACTATAGAGGGGATAATTCAACAAAAATATTAAACCCTTCAAGTCACTCCTTATAGATATTCCATTGTATCGATATGTACTTCTTCTTCCAATATGTCAATACATTGTTACAATGACGCGCAATATCTATCTTTAAGAAATAAGGGCTCCACTGTCGATTCAATGAATCTCATCTAATCTGCTACTTTGGAGAAATATCGAAAAAGTTGTCTACTTTTGACTACTAACAAATGCTATAAACTGGATGGTCGCAGATTCAGATCGCTCAGGTTGAAGACATAACTTTGTTTTGTTACAAAGAGAACATGACAATAAATGACAACTTTCAGATGTCGATGTGTTAGAGGCTTGCAAGCAGTGGTAGGCTATCTTTTTTCCAGGCGCACGGTCGACTTGATCCAGTGGTAGTCAATCTTTCTTCCAGGCGCACGGTCGACTTGATCCAGTGGTAGGCTATCTTTTTTCCAGGCGCACGGTCGACTTGATACAGTGGTAGGCTATCTATTTTCCAGGCGCACGGTCGACTTGATCCAGTGGTAGGCTATCTTTTTTCCAGGCGCACGGTCGACTTGATCCCTCGTTCAATTGTGAACCCCTTGGGATACAGCCAAATTGCTCTATGTAAATCACTACCATTGCACGGCATATTAATTCACTTATAGCATGTTACACATTCATTGTATTGGTACATTACAGGTATGAAATGTCCGAAAGATACAATGGGAACTACGATGAAGCCTGGCGGGACAGGGACCACGATGAAACCTGCTAAAATAGACGTTAGATTACCACTACACATGGAACCCATCCATTATGATGTGGAACTTCAACCAAACATGTACAATAATAAACCGGAAACGTTTACATTTAATGGTTATGCAAGAATCCATATGAAATGTGTTGCAGCAAGTAACAATGTCACGCTACATATCAACAAACTTAATATCACCGACGGCTCCATGAAGTTCGGACGACAAGATATGAGTGCAGCTCCAGGAATCTCTTCTTGGACCATTGACAAAGAACGACAGTTCCTGATAATATATTTAAATGATAATATGGAAGAGAATAAAGAATACTATGTTGAGATGAGATTTGTTGGACCACTGAAAGATGATTTAGCAGGTTTATATCTTAGTACTTATGAGTACCAAAATGTTACGAAGTAAGTCAAATAGAAAAATATATTATATCAAAACCATGAAAAATAGCTCTCGCGAGCATATAATATGTCTTAACGAGGTCGAATATTTGTTAATTCAGATTATACCGAACTTTCGTTCCTTTTTTTAATAGTTTTTATTTTCAATATAGCCATTTCAGCTGGGATTCGCGTCATAAAATCCCAGCGTTTGAGAGGGAAGAAATTTCATTGGCTAGTGATGTTATCAAACGGCCGGTTGTGAAACCCTAACTGAAGTGGTTACATTAAAAATAAAAGATAATAAAACCGAAACGAAAGGTTGTTCTAATTCAAATTAGACTGCTTCCTGGGCGTCTGGAAGATCAGAATAGATATCACAGAAGGTTGAATATCGTGGAATTACTATCATAATAGAAGTATTTATTTCGCTTTTTAATAATCCTTTTCAGAAGCTTAAATATTATCTAAGAGCGTAATACTGGATTGAAGGTCCTCATTGCTTTGCTTATATATCAATATATGATTTAGGCCACGAATGCATAATCACACAATCTAGTTATTGAGGGCCACATTTTGAACTTCTTTCTTGTGGGAATCGGTTACATTGTTATCCTTATTACATTTAATCTTTCTTCTTAACTAGCGTGAACTAATTTACCTCAAATCCCGCTGTTTTTATAACTTGAATATGGCGCCAATGTTGTTGTTGACTCGAATTCAGTTTCAGAAACAAAGTAACAGCATTAACAAATTTAAAGTTTAAATTAGACAAATAATGTCTTCTATTACTTTATGGAACAAAATTTGAAATATCCCACTTGAGAAAATAAACGTTTCCTGTATTATGACCTTTGGTACCATGTACTAAAAGTATCATATGGAACTTATTTCTGGTGTAAACATAACTAACACCATTATTACTTTGTTTTCATTCTGGGTAATAACATTATTCACTGCTATAGTAAACGTACCTTTTAGATATTTTTGATCTAGAGAGATCACGGGATTTTCAATTTGGGGGTAATTACTCCCAAGTAGGTAATTTTGACATTTTTGGAGAGTTATTGGGCGCTTTGTAGTCTATAGCATAATTTGTTTTGAATTATATGAATGTGGCCATCATGTTAAATAGATGTACATTCGCTGCAAAATCCACCGCCATTCAGAATTATAAAATAAGCAGTGAGAATTCTGCTACAGGTCGATGCCTCCAGCATAGGATACCGTTTTCGGGTATTTACTGGAACGTGTTGATCAAATAGGGATTCCTGACTTTGAATGTATTTTACAAATCATTCTACACTATAAGTATTTTTAAAAATTTAAAAGCATTTTAACCTTAGGATATCGTTAATATTTAGGTACATGGCTACTACACAACTACAACCAACTGATGGAAGACGAGTTTTTCCATGTTTTGATGAACCTGCGATTAAAGCCACATTTAATACGACATTGGTTAGAATGAATACAACTAAATCTATTTCCAATATGCCTATAACATCCACTCAGCCAAGGTAGGCATTCATTTCATTTCTTGTTTCTATAAATTCAGATATATGGCGACGTCTATGTTAGCTCCAATTGAAGGTCGAAGAATTTTCCCATGTTTTGATGAACCTGGCATAAAAGCTTCCTTCAATGTGACATTAGTTAGATCAAGCTCGACTAAGGCAATATCCAATATGCCTATTAGAGAAACAGTTTCAAGGTATAAGTTCGTGTTCCTTTATATTTTTATCGTAAATATAAAGATGGGATTGTAGTTTGATGTATTTTCACATGACCTTTTTCATAAGAGAGAGCTAGGTTTATGCGTTTTGTGCTTATGTTCATATTAACAAAACAAACACCCGTAAGCGTGTTGATTGGCCGGTTCAAAAATCACGTGACATCTTAAGGAAATATGCAAGAAAATATGTAATAGTATCGGACGTGTTGCAGTCATGCTATGAAACGCGATTCATTGAAGTTAGAGAAAATAAAAACACGCAAAATTCGTATAAACTTCTAATGAAATTCAAATTCATACTCTGCCACAATTTAAAGACCCTTCTTACTTTCAGATCAAATGGAATGGTTGCTGATGTCTTTGAGAGAACGCCGAAAATGTCTGTATACTTACTGGCATTTATAGTTGGTGATTTAGAATTTATTGAGAAAACGACATCCAAAAACATTCGGGTGAGTTCTGATTAAGGTTTGAAAGAGCATCTCACACTAGACTGATATCCCTCTTCTCAATGGCCAATTACATAAGTCTATTTGTCCAGAAGTAAATCTCTCCGGAATCAAAATTTTATTGCTGCAAATATTAAGAGCATTTCATCCAAACTGACCAACAAGGTTTGAGCGCTAACTTAAAGATTCATGTTTCCCCTATCCTAGGCGTTTTAATATCATACATCAATGACATCATTCCTACATTTTATAATTTCAGTACAGGACCTGGTCAACTCTAGGAAAAACTGACCAAGCTCAGTATGCTTTAGAAACTGGAGTTAAAATCATTACATATTTCAGTGATTTTTTTGAAGTTCCATTTCCATTGCCGAAACAAGGTAGGTAACTCTGTTGATGCCATTTTTAGTACTCTCAGCTCCCAATTCTAATCCGATCCTGTAATTAATATCACTACGCTGTCATAGATATTATGTTTTTTTCGATACATTATTGGGATCTTTATTTAAGATATGGTTGCTATTCCTGATTTTTCTGCTGGTGCAATGGAGAACTGGGGACTTATTATATATCGTGAAACAGCTATGTTGTATAAACCAGGAGTATCATCTGAAGGGAACAAACAAAGAGTAGCTGTTGTTGTTTCTCATGAACTGGCTCATCAGGTAAACCTTCGGTCTTGTTGGTGTACAAAGTGGTTTAGAACTTAGATAAATATTAAAGCTAATACCTTGATTGTAACAGTCATCTTTCTTGTATCATGGAATGTAGCGATTTGATTGGGTTGTACGCCAGCTAATACAGCCAATCAGAGCTCTCGACAGAAAGACTGTAGAATTATGGCTCATTCTATGATACAAGAAAGGTGGCTATTGCAATCAAGGTATAGCTTAACATTGTAATTATGAGAAATACGCTGAACCAAGTCCTTAAGTCATACATTTTAAAGGAGAATTCGTTCTTTATATCATCTACCTATTTTGTTTTTTTTCCAATTAGTCTAGATTAGATTTGAATATGACCACCAACCATGAATTTCTTAGTGATTGGAAATGCTAAAGCCTTCGTGTCATTTCATTCGCCAGTATTATAACTCATAAAGATAACGTAACTTTGTTTTTCAGTGGTTTGGAAATCTGGTAACACCTTCTTGGTGGGATGATCTGTGGTTAAATGAAGGTTTTGCTAGTTTTGTAGAATACCTCGGAGTTGATCATGTTCACCCAGACTGGAAAATGGTAAAATAACATAATTATGTTTGTTGATGTAATTCTTTCAGAGGAAATTGTCCTGGATTACACGCTCAAATGTTGACGATGGCGATGGCGAACGTTAAGATGTTGGCTTTTTTTTCAAGATTTCTTCCCGTTTGGTGTAAAACTCAGCATTTTTCCAAATAAAAGGGGGGGGGGTCAAATGGGAAATATGTTATAGCCTATAATATTTTAAGGGCCCAAAGAAATCAACCATAACTGATTTTATATTATGTATACATGCATGTATTTAATTTTATTTTGTAGTTTGACCAGTTTGTAGTCGAAGATCTCCAAGATGTGTTCGATTTTGATGGTTTAACGACGTCACATCCAGTGTATGTTCCAGTAGGACATCCGGATGAAATTAATGAGATCTTTGACCGAATTTCATATGCTAAGGTATGCAATGTTGTGTCTGTTCCACTTTTTGATAAAATACTATATATTATTATATATTACTACGTATAAGCCATTGTCGGTATCAAATTGTTAACTAAAGTAAATGAAAACCTTAAGAGTTTTGCCCATCTGTTTCCGTCTCAAAGCATGTATACTGGATCATAAGATTACGGTTTTGGACAGTTAATTTAGTCCTTAATCGAAAGTAAAATCCTTCTTCATGGTCACCCTTATTTGACTATTCCCCTTCGCGTCTTTCAGGGAGCTTCTATTATCAGAATGATGAGATTTTTTCTTGGTGATGAAACTTTCCGTTTGGGTTTGAAGGTAAGTAAACTATAATATTAAGCACAATATTCGAAGAGCGCCTGCGTCTGAGTGGGACGCTCAAATACCTTATTCCACAGCCTTATCATTGCTATAATCGTCATTGATAAAGTAACTTTTAGAGAAAATTTATTGCTGTATAACTTTTTAAAAAATCAATAGAGCTATTATTTTTGTAATAATTTATTTCTAGAGATATTTAAATAGTAGAAAATTTGATGCAGCCTTCCATGATGATTTGTGGTCTTCTTTAACACAGGTAAGATTACAGTTCTGACAGTCAATGAAATGATTGAGTCAGTGTTTTCTGCTACAAAGAAAACTTTTATTTCTCATGTTCCGGAACCCTGAAAAATATCAATAAGTTTTGTCCTAACGATCTCCCTCGAAAAGTTCAGGCCGAATTGATTGATTCTCGTAACTCACAAAAGTATCAGATGTTGGACGTGTGATCCTCATTTTCCACACCATCCCTTGTCGACAGCATCAGATTAGAACCTGCCAATTAGATTTGATTCAAGAGCACTGTATAATATCCTGGTAGTTGTTGGTTCCCTTTGTTATTAAAAGTCACAGAACAGCAAAAATTATGCCGACGTTTAAGTATGTAGTTGTAAATTGTGCTGTTCGGCATAATCGTCACGAAATACTTTCTGACAACTTACTTTCTGATAAATTACTTTTTTTACATTACATTCTGGTAAATTACTTTTTTATAAATTACCGTTATATCTTACAGCAAGCTACAGCTGATAGTAAAAATATTGATGTTAAAAAGATAATGGATACGTGGACATTACAAATGAACTACCCAGTGGTTAAAGTTACAAAACAAGGAGCTAGTCGCCTACGTCTAACACAACAACGGTATCTCCGAGATCCAACCGCCACAGATCCCATGAAGTATACGTCCAAATTTGGGTAAGTCTTTGACAGTAAAACCAGAGTCATGATTTGGTATCGCTCGATGTTGATCGTTGTACTTCTTTACGCGATGCTATTACTGTTCGCTAAAGGAAGTATTGCACGAAACGATTGGTAGTTAAATGAAGTTAATTAATCTTTGAGCTTATCAACTTAACTTATGAGTCAACCACGCAAGAAGTAGAATCAGCCTATTTGACGGATGTGCAGCTACTGTACCTTTATCAATGGTTTGATGAGATGAAACTATGCATTTGTTTTGAAGTTTGCCCTATAGATGATTGCATTTCACTGTGTATGTATTGATCGTTATTCTGATGCCTTCATATCTTCTCCAGATATTCTTCTATATAGAGACTCTCTTTTACATTTTTCAGCTATAAATGGACCATACCGTTTACTTACACCTCCAGTAATGTAAGAGATTTTAACCAGACTGATGCTGACGTGGTATGGTTTTATAAAGAGGATGACAATCGTAAGCTTATTATTAGATATCTTCAAAACTTTGCGATTAATCCTTTGATATATGATTCTTGTTTCAATGACAATTTTATATGTATAAATATTTATTGAAACAAATGAAGCTGTTGTGGCTCAGTGATTTAGACGCATTCTAGCTAACCTAAAGGTCCAGGTTAATCCAGACATAATACCTTTTAGATAATGGCATTTACAATTAGTGTCAGTCATGCAGGTTGAAGGGGCTAACATGGAAAGAGCGCCTCGTCGTTCGTATATGAAAATACAACGAGTCCGCGAATTCTACAGTCTGTGCAAGACCAGATAACGATCCGTCCACATTTGAAAGTAAAAAAAAAAGATTTCTCTCATTGCACACTGCATGGTGTTGCATGTCTTCATTAGCCCATTAGTTGCTGAAAAGTAAGACGTATAAAACTTCATTCATTATAGTGAATATCGATGCAAGTAATCTACCAACTGGTGAAAATAGTTGGATATTAGCAAATGTACAGCAATATGGTTTCTACAGAGTCAACTATGATGAAAGTAATTGGATGGCTTTGATAAATCAACTTAAAACTGATCATACAGTAAGTAAAGCTTCTGTTGAAATTATGGATGTTCCCAGGTTCTTAAAGGCCATGGTTTGCCATTTTCGGGGGGTTTATTTGGATCTCGAATATAATATGTAAATTGTCAAATATATCTCAAACTAGAAATTTAACTTTCCAATTCTATAAATTATGTCTACAGTTAAGTCTCAAGAAAGATGAGTCGTCATTTTAACTTCCAAACGCGGATCATTCTGGACACATATGGATTTGATGGCTCAAATTTCGATTGTGGGCTTAGAACACGCTAAAAAAAACACCCGCTTCTGAAAGTAACGTCCGACTGGTCAAGTAGATAGCTAATCTGTCCCATTAAATGAGAGGGCAGACAGCAACTCATTATATATCTAGAATTCTAAATACTCATTATTAATATCTAGAGAGAGTATTTTATTGCGAGTATTTACATATATCTTCTATCTTGCAGGTAATACACCCCATTAACAGAGCTCAGATTATCAATGATGCTTGGAGCTTAGCTGCGTAAGTAGAATATGTATCTAAAAGTTTCATTTCAAAGTCCTAATATCATGAAAGGGAGGCCATTCATTTTCAAGTCATTAAAAGTAGCTTGTTTATGATAGATAATTGGTGTGGAAATTCTTTAGCCAAAAGTCTTCAACATGTTACTTATTTATTCTTGGTGCATGGTATCAGTTGAGCTCTTAACCATCTTTCCCTCGGCAAAAAGTATCATTTACTTTAATAGTATTATTAATAGTTACTAATTCTACTATTAAAGTTAATGATACATTTTCCCTGGGTTATAGTGTTCAATTGGCGTACATCCAAAAAATAATTGCAGCATTCCGTGATAAAAGAACAGTGGTTATTGTAGTCAAGGTATAAGACAAAGTACATAACACCTTGACCATTCTGAACATGGCTTTAAATATGCGACGATTAAAATTCCATTTTTCTAAACTTTTTTGGTTCCTAGTGGTATAGATAAAATTTCAAATGTTTAGGAATAAAGGGGGTCGTCTGACACTAGGAATTATTTTTTCAGGGCTGGACATATCAATATGAGTATTGCTTTACAAACAGTAGAATATCTGGGAAAGGAAATGGAATTTGTACCACGTCGTGCAGCCAATAGAGAATTGGAAAATGTTCAGCGAATGTTATCTAAATCAGATATATATGGTGCCTGGAAAGTACGTTATATACAATTTATACAAGTAATTTCTGTGTGTATATTATTCCCAAAAAACATTGTCCATATAATATAGTAGATATATTGAGCGTTATGGTTTTTTTTCTAGAGACGTTCCATTTTCTTTGTCATGTTTTTTATTGTATTCATTCTCTTACAGGAATTTATTATTAGCCGTGTCAAGGTTCCATTTGACATCCTAACTATGGATAACACAAATGCTCCACATCTCCAGTCGTAAGTTATTTATCTGTGGTTATTTTAGAACATAAGCGTCGGTACCCATGATTATGAATATAGATGAAGAACAGCAATGTTAATGCCAATTATACATCTTAATGGGCGACTACATTCATGACATTGTCAGCGGATGCCCAATCGAACGTATCGTTTTTTGTAGGGCACGAAAGGTACGAAAGGAGATTATCTATGTGAAGCGTTACGTTCCTCAGAAATTTCATGATCATGAAAATATTCACTACACCATAAACCTCAGTTCCCATAAAGAAAGATGTCTATCATGTGACCGAGAGCCCGATCGGAATGAAACATTCTACGTCTTAAGACACCAAACTTTGGAATAGCGTCAAACCATTTGACTTAGTGAAAAAGAGCAATTATGGAATCGGTAAAGATCATATAATACTATATATATATACTAAGATACAAATCCATAACGTTCATGAGCCAAAAAGAACAACAGGGTGCATAACTCGTATCTTTAATTGTAACTTTATTTCCAGATATCTGCGGTCAGAAGTAGTTTCTGTAGCTTGTGATTACGATTACCAACCATGTGTTACTAATGCTACCTTACTCTTTAAACAATGGATGAACAACCCAAGTAATAATCCGTAAGTAGACATTATAATCAATTGAATTCCTGCTTTATTTTCGTCTGTAATAAGTAATAACATCTTTCGTAGAGTTAAAAAAATAGACCCGTACAAAAAGACAAATGGCGTCACTCAAGTTTGGTGCATGTGTCACTATAAATCTATACCTCTTGCAGAGATGTCTGAATCAAATCAAAACTAAATCAAAATGAACTTTGACTTTTCATAATGATCTGGCACATACCTCTCAAATTTAATTGTTGGTATTTTAGAATTGATCCTGGGCTAAAAACACAAGTTTACTGTACTGCTGTCCAATATGGTGGAATTGCTGAGTGGAATTTTGCTTTTAATCAGTATAAGACGTCGAACGTTGCTGCTGAACAGTCCAGGTTATTACGTGCTTTGGCCTGCACCAGAGAAATGTGGTTGTTAAACAGGTAGGAAACTTGTTTATGAAACAGAAAAAGAACTTCCTTACAATCCCTTTTTATACGCCCACATGGAAATGTGGACGTATATTGCCGTCGCCCCTGTCCGTCGGTCCGTTTTTAAAAATTTTGTGGTATTTCTCAGCATAAATACCTGGCAGTAAATATATATATCAATGAATTCAAACTGTTAAAATTTCTTTAATATGAGAAAATTCATACTGTAGTCACTAAAGACTGTTGTATCATTTCTGACGGCTGCCAGTGGGCGTATGTTACCTTGCCTGGCAAGCTATCTTTTATGATAAGGGCAAACCTTGCTCTAAATACGAGGAAAAAATCGGTGGATATTGGATATTTTACTACGAAAGGTTTGGAACCAAGCTGCGTTCGTTTATTATGGAGGATATCCTTTGCTCTAAATCCAAATGGTACAGACATCTGCATCGATATAACAACTGAATAGAACGCATGATTTACTCTTCCTAGGGGTCGACCATATTTTCTAAAGATGTTTTGGACCACTCATAAGATGTAATTCATTTAAGTTCTTTTGGTTGCATTCGAAAATATGGTGACTTTTTCCTAATAAATCAGCTATCCCCATAAAAACCCTTAGTAGTTAGGTTACTGATCACAAACGCCTCTTGACAAAATTCTACATTTCAGATATTTGACCAAAGCTGTGAATCAAGATGAAATCAGAAAACAAGATTCTCTGTCTATCATTATTTATGTTTCATCACATACGATATCTAGAGATCTGACTTGGAACTTCGTCAGAGAAAATTGGAAAAAAATATCAGATGAGTAAGTTGACTGTTTATTAGAGATTGTATTTGTGATTTAGTTCTCATTGCTGTTGAAGCTTTTTCCAGCTTTTAAGAAGAAGTTATTTCAGACATTTTGTCCCGATTTCACAAGCAAATGATGCACGTCGAGAGGGGCTGACATAGATAAACCGTTGCTACCTCCTCTCGCAACGACATTTCTAACAAAAAAATTACATAGTGAAATAATTATCTGTGATATGATCCCCCTTTTGCAAAAGGATTCGGGTAAATAGTGGACAGAGCTCATGTCATTTCGTTATTTTTTCAGCTTCGCAGTATCATTATTCCAGTTTACTAGAATGATAGGAAGGGTAACTGAAGCTTTTAATACTGAGTTTGACTTAAAACAAGTAAGTTCATATTTTTAACTTTCAAATCATTGCGTATCATAAATGAATGATACAAAATAGAAAGTGAGGGGATGGGGGCTAAGGTTCCAAAGTTCTGCAGTCGGAATTGTTTTGGTATTTTACGTGTATTTTACGAGCTTGTAAAAGTTGACTACCAATGTGTTGTTTTGGTTAGTCCTTTTGTTTTGTCTTGTTTTTTTTTGGTTTTGTTTTTTGATCATTACGGGTTGTTATTTTTTTCGTTTGTCTTTTATTGTGTTTATTTTAAACAAATTTTGTCATTTTCTCTTTACAGTTGGAAGCATTTGTAAAATCTCAACCTTATCTAGGTTCTGGCCAAAGAGCATTCGAACAAGCAGTAGAGAAAACCAAATCCAATATCAAATGGATGAAGAACAACTATGGAACCATTAAATCCTGGTTATCAAGCTTAAATTTTAAATAATGTTCCCATGTTATATATTTGAAGCTTTAATAATAACTAATATGTAGTAATAATCCAAGAGCCACAATCAGTTCGCTTTGTAGATATATTAGAAATTAAATAAATACCCATAGGTGAAATCCTACACTCAAATGAAAAAACTCGAAAAATATCATTCTAAATTGAATGAAAATTGGTTTCCAATGTGTTTAAAAATTCAAATGAAAATTTGGTTCCAATGTGTTAAAAAATTTGAATGAAAATTGAGTTCCGATGTATTTAAAAATTAAAATTAAAATTGGGTTCCAATGTGTTTAAAAATTAAAATCAAAATTGAGTTCCAATGTGTTAAAAAATTCAAATGAAAATTGAGTTCTCATGTGTTTAAATATTCAAATGATAATTGGGTTCCAATGTGTTAAAAAATTCAAATGAAAATTGAGTTCCAATGTGTTAAAAAATTTGAATGAAAATTGAGCTCCAATGTGTTAAAAAATTTGAATGAAAATTGAGCTCCAATGTGTTAAAAAATTTGAATGAAAATTGAGCTCCAATGTGTTAAAAATTTTGAATGAAAATTGAGCTCCAATGTGTTAAAAAATTTGAATGAAAATTGGGTTCCTATGTGTTTAAAAATTCAAATGAAAATTGAGTTCTCATGTGTTTAAATATTCAAATGAAAATTGGGTTCCGATGTGTTTAAAAATTCAAATGAAAATTGGGTTCTCATGTGTTTAAAAATTCAAATGAAAATTGAGCTCCAATGTGTTAAAAAATTTGAATGAAAATTGAGCTCCAATGTGTTAAAAAATTTGATGAAAATTGAGTTCTCATGTGTTTAAATATTCAAATGAAAAGGGAGTTTAACAATGCCATTGAGTTCAGCATTAAACTTAAACAAAGACCCAAAAAAGTCAAAACTAATGGCAAATAAAATTTGATTTATTCAAAAAAACAAACATATCTTAAATGAATTTCAATGGGCGATTGTTGAAACAGCGTGTTTGATTAAAGTTAGTAATTTTCAGATTTTAAATATAATTATATCATTTTAAAGATGTATTATAATTTTATAGTAGATTTTTTACTTCATATTTTATATTCATTTTGTAAATATACAATGTGTTTTATATTAAACAAAAAATCAAACTTCTTTGACTTGATTTGTAATGGAATTTGAAAACGTTATGAGGAGCAATGAATATTAACTGCAGTTGAATTGCTTTAAAGGAATTTTTCATTTCATTGGTTTTATGGCATCATACCAGCTCGACAAATTCAAAACAAATGTAATAAAAGGCTTGGGGAGTAAACCATTTAAAGTATACAGCCTTGTGTTTGTTTTAAGAGATGTTTTCCAACACAACTGCCAATAACCGAAACGAAGATCAAATATCAAATATCTCTTAGCACACAGTGGGTAAAGTTACACGCCGTTCCCCTGATGACAGTGCCAAGAAAACACAATCAGATAAGACATGATCAGATGTGAATCTATGTGAAATCTTAAAGTATCATCCTCCTTTTTAACTATGACTACTGGAGGTGTATATATGATGCTTTGTTATGTATTTGTTTGGTATGTTCTATAATATTGAACCTAATTCAGAACAATGAAAATATTAAACATTGTACATAGTCACACTTTGTTAAGACTCAGAAAAGAAATATGAACCATTACAAAATAAGGATATCTTATAAGTGAACATGGAATGGTTAAAAAATAAACAATATTGTATTCATACTAAATGAATTGAATGGAGTTTTATGCCCTACTCTTCTGCACCATGTGGGCTAATGAAGACGGTATTAACAAACTAAAGATGGTATATAAACAAATACATCATATCAAATACAAAACTTTAATAATTGACATATCACAGATACATTAAATATAATATACAATTATCACAGTAATAAATTTAATACATAAATACAGAATATTTTGATTCCAAATAACTTGAAATGTATATAAATTGTATTTTTCACACTTTCAATAATTCTAAGTAGCAATGTTATCCATTCAGATTACTGTATTTCTTAAAATCTGCATTTTATTTTAGTTTTTAAGTCCCCAGATGATTGGAACACTAAAACTAAACAGTTAAGTTTTGGAGAATAAGGCCCTAGATAAGAATCTTTTAGTACAGAATTGTAAAAGCAGAAATGAGGTGTTTATGCCGGTTCAGCATCAGGTGTAGGAGATGGTTTATAAAATGGATCTTTATCCATCATTGCATCATTTAACTTCTTCAATACTTCACTTTCACTTGATACCGTATTTTTCTGAAAGAAATGAAAAAAAGAATACAGATACAACAACTAAAAAAGATGGGAAAATCATTACAATATATTAAATAACGGAACACAATTTTATGGTATACTACTCTTTAGTTTTATTACACACGACGTTTCAACAATTTACATTGTCATCTTCAGGTTTCAACAATCTACATTGTCATTTTGAAGGTGATGATGACATTGTAGATTGTTGAAACGTCGTGTGTAATAAAACTAAGGAGTAGTATACCATGAAATTGTGTTCCATTATTTAATGTTATCTCTACCCCTAAATGTCGCTAAAGGATTATTACAATATAAGGTTAACCTGTCATCCAAATTGGTATTACATAAACTTCAGTGTTCAAAGGGTTAATATCAATACTGACCTGTAAATTGATCCTCATTAACCC